AAATTAAATTGAACAGGTTTCTATACACACACCGGCGCCGCCCAGCCATGATTCAGGAGGCAGTTCTTATTTTAGCCCCCCACAGAGCGCCATCTGATTAGTTTCATGTTAAATATCATGCGAATGTGCGCATTTGGTGTGTGATAGTTTAAACTGTCATGTGCGCGCCGTGTCGCGGCGCTTCTGGTGTGCGACCTGCTTGACTGCCTGTTAAAGCGTGAAGTCATGTAGGATTTTACTTGTTGCATTAGTCTGAGTCACGTCTGTGTGGATTGTCAAGACATTCCCTTATCAAGTCGATAAACTCGATCTCAACATGTATGAAGGACGTAAATGTCTCCCATGTGAAAAACCGCGCCGATCTTTTGGTTTGAACACGAGCAGAGGCGAGGGACTGTAGCAGTGAAAATGAAAGTACCCGCCCCCATGACGTCATTTAGTGGACTTAGTTGAAAACCAGACAGATCAGGCAGCATAATACAGAGAGTGGAGCAAAGCGCATCAGATGAACGCTATTTAAAAGGGGAAAAAAGAAAAATAGATTAAATATAATAATTTATATTAGACACACATCTTGTACTTGTATTTGCTTCTGCTATACGTCCACAACTTCACACATTGGGTTTAATTAGGCTTTACAGTTTCCATGTTCAGTCCTTTTCTTCCACTGTATCTTTTTAAGAAATAAAAAATAAATAAATAATAAATAAAATCATTACAACCTGTCATTTAATCAGAAGACAAAGTCAAAGCCGAGCTGACAGCCAATCTTTCCTAGGCTCAGCAAAACTTGCAAGGAATACCTCTGTATTCCTGCAACTGCAATATTTACACAAATATTTCTTATTCAAATCTTCAGCAAGGCAGATGATTACATTTATTTACACCTTGACCGATTTTTGTATGACATGTCCATTAAAAATACAATGTTCCTTAACCAGATGGTTTTTCAAGTTACTTTTAAAGAGAGTGTTACTTCAGTCATGTTGTTGTAATGTTTTGAGAAGACTAGTGACACAATAAAAAAATTGAAATCGAAATTGTGAATCGGTCAAACTTTATAAAAAACCTATATATATATATTTTTTTTTTTTTTGCCAAATCGCCCAGCCCTAGCTGCTTTACTGGGCTTACTACACTACTGTATTTCAGTACTGCTCATTTTGGTGGTACTTGGAGAGACAATTTTTTTCTGAGGAGGTACTTGATGAAAAAATTTGGAGAACCACTGCTTTAGTGATATAGACACATTATTGGTGTACTGGGACAGAGTGGGTTAATACAGTAACATCAACTAATATTGGCATCCTTGATTAACGTGAGCAAAGGCGCATGTGGGAAAAAAAAGAAATCAGTGCTTTACAACCTGTGGGACGCTGCCTTTCACAGCCCCTTCACATGGGTGTCTGTGTAGTAGTGAAAACATTTTGTCCAGTCAAGTGTAGTGTGCTGTTTCAGACATTGTTATAGTTACAAAACAAGATCACATTTGTATTTGCTCAAATCTAACAGATGCTAGGCCAAAACTTCATTAATTCAGATAAATCTGCCCTGTGAAGTTCTAGTCTGAATGCCTGTTTCTGCTGATGGTCTACCTGCTTTTTGGCATTATCTGATATTGATTGTCCTGTTTTGTCTAAAAAGTGTCAGCCTAAGGCCCAATCCCAATTCTACTTCTTAGCCCTTCCCCTTACCCCTTGTTTTGCGCGTGCACACCAAGGGGTAGGGGTGTCCCAATTCTCTTTAGCTTGAAGGCATAGGGCTAAGGTTAAGGGGTGAATAGGCCTTCGAATTAAGATTTTTCAGGGCCACACATGAAATCAAGGGGTAAGAAAATTTCCCAGAATACACCTGCCACAATGGCAGTATTGCTGAACCCGGAAGTAAGGAGATCCACAAATTATTATTTTTTGTCATTATTACGAATATTTAAGACAAACAAACACACTTTAATATATTCATAACCATGTTCATTTTTTTTACTGTCATGCTTTAAAAAAAAGAAAAGAAAAAAAAAAAACGCTAAATTTCGCGATCTACAATCCCTATTAATAACTCCTGTACAGCAGTCCCACAACATTCTGACACTCGAATACCCTGTTAGTAATGTCCAGTGGCACTCAATTGGCATTTTACAGTGTCTGCTGTAATGCTAATGTTGTTTTTGTGTGTTTACATTGATGAATATGGCCACTGTGTAAATGCGCAGAACAGTTACGATCTTATTGCCAAATTAGATCTTTATGATAACCTAATATATGCCTTCAGTGATTTCCTGAAGATAAATACAGAAAAATAAAACAACTGGAATAACTACAGTAGTCGCGATTGTCTGATCTCATGATCTCAGCAGGAGATGGTGATGACATATGATGACTTGTGCAGGTGCTGTAGTGCGGTCCCAATTCTTAGGTGTAAATTTTGAAGCCCTTCCCCTAAACCCTCGGTTGTAAGGGCCAAGGGGAAGGGGTAGGGGTACAAAAATAGAATTGGGATTGGGCCTAAGTTTCTTTGGGCTTGGTGATGTTTACTAAAATCATTGAGTGTTTAATCAGTTAAGTCAGTTAACAGTGTTTTGTTTAAGTATGTCACCAACACAATAGTGGACTCATTTAAAAACTGCAATGGCTGCAGAAACATATGTGCTCTAAAAAAGATTGTGATCCACTGGTTTAACTTGATGATGTTTTGCTTTAAAATGAACAAAATAGCTTTTATTTTATAGAAAAAAAAATGATTGCAAACAGTTTTGTCAAAAACAAATATCTTTGTTAAACCTGTGTGGCATAGTCACTGGCACCCCTATGAGTTCATACAAGGTAAAGTATATTCCAATTGAAATGTCTTATTATTTTTGTACACCTGCATGTGGAGAAAAAGGAAACTATGTTAAATAACCTCCTATATCACAAAAGTGTAAATCCGAGGAAACAAAAAGCAGGGTTGCCAGGTCCAAGACATCAGACATCAGACATCAAGCTCAAAACCTGCCCCAGGAAAAGCCATATTTTCTTTTATATTTTGTAATAAACATACTTCTAGAGCTCACATACAAAAAAAAAAAAAAAGTTAAAATACTGACTGGCTTTCAGTACACCAAACTTATAACTACCTCACTCTTCATTTTTCTTTTTCTTTTTTTCTTTTGGAAAAATGCTCCCTTACAACTCCCCTACAGTTAAACAGCTGAGTTTAACCATTTCTGAATCAATTCAGACAATTTCTAGTCTGGCTGGAGCTCTTTTATCTTATTAAATCAGATGAGACCATTCACTTTAAAATGACCAAAGAGTTTTGATAATTTTCCTATTGAAAGCTTGACTCTTGTAGTTCTATCTTGTACCAAGACTGATGTAAAATGAAAAGTTGCATTTTTAGACTGATATGGATGGGAACTATAATCTAATTCTGGCAAAATAATCCAGGCATTGATATAGTGCAGCACCTGCTGCTTGCACAGGGAGTGCACCTTGCAACTATAAGGACATGAAGAATGAGCTGTAATGCTCCACCACCACTTCATCATAAATGCAACATATATAGTTTGATTTAATGTATTCATCTAACAAATCAACCTTTTCCATTCAGAGAATTACAGTCATTGAAATCTCGGAATGAAGAAACAACGAATTCTTCTAAACTGTTTGCAAAGCTCAAATTTAATATTTGGAATCACCAATAAAATTTACCAACTACTATTTCTTAAATTGACGCTCAAAGGGTTAGAATCAAGCAAAATAAATAAAAAAATTATAAAAACGGATGCAGGAAAATTATTTTAAATTATTATTGTAAATAATGAGTTCAGCAGGTCAAACAAATTACGAAAATATGAAGTTGTAGCTGCTTCATCAAAAGTTGGCTCAGTACAAAAAGATTTTGTAAATTTACCTCTGTTCGTGAGGCAAGTATTTGCAGAGATTCCAGCGTGTTTTCCAAACCCAGAAGATTCATAAAAATTGAATAGCCCCAAATGGAGAATCATAAATCAATAATGATCAATGATTAGCTCCTTTGGCAAGGCAAGTTTATTTATATAGCACATTACATACATGGAGGCAATTCAAAGTGCTTTACATAAACAAGAATAAAAGAGACAACTATAGGAAAAATAAAAGTAAATTATAAAAATTATTAAAGGTATACAGGTTATAATAGAATGAAAAAGAGAAGAAAGACAATAGTGGGATCTGTCGGACGCAGCACAGTGCTCATTCAGTAAAGGCACAGCTAAACAGATGTGCTTTCAGTCTTGATTTGAACATGCCTAATGTTGGAGCACATCTGATCATTTCTGAAAGCTAACTCCAGCAGCGAGGGGCATAGTGGCCAAAAGCTGATTCACCCTGCTTTGACTGAATTCTTGGAACTTCTAGTTTATATGATCCTAAAGATCTGAGTGATCTGTTAGGTTTGTATTCAGTGAGCATATCTGTAATGTATTGAGGTCCTAGGCCATTTAGTGATTTAAAGACACAATAATAAAACTTTAAAAACTATTCTGAATGTAGCTGGGAGCCAGTGTAGGGACCAGAGGACAGGTGTGATGTGCTCTGATTTCCTGGTTCTAGTCAGAATCCTGGCCGCAGCGTTCTGGATGAGCTGAAACTGTCTGACTGTCTTTTTGCGAAGGCCAGTGAGGAGGCCGTTACAGTAATCCACCCTGCTGCTGATAAAATCATGAACAAGTTTCTCTAAATCTTCACTGGAAACAAAGCATCTGATTCTAGCAATGTTTCTGAGATGATAGTATGCTGATTTACTGACTGCTTTGACATGACTACTGCAACTCAGATCTGACTCCAGAGTCACACCAAGATTCTTGACCTTATTTATTGTCTTGTGCCCCTTAGTGCCAAGGTACGCATTTACCTTGAGAACCTCATCTCTGTTCCCAAACGCAATGACTTCAGTTTTCTCTTTGTTTAACTGAAGAATGTTTTGGCACATCCAACTTTTCATTTCAACAAAGCATTGGCAGAGGGTGTCATTGGGGCTGTAGCGATTAGGCAGTAAGGCTATGTAGATCTGAGTGTCGTCAGAATAGCTGTGGTAGGAGATTTGGTTCTTCCTCATTATTTGGCTCTGAGTGAGCATATAAAGGTTGAACAGGAGAGGTGCCAGAGTTGAGCCTTGTGAGACTCATTACATCTTCCCCCATTCAAAACTATATGACTGACACCTTGTGTAGTGTACAGCCTTTAGCTACACCAAACGGGCCAATCACAGATTTTGTGCTCTACGTCATCATGACACGTACTGTAGTTATATATTTTTTGGAGAGGTGTGGGTCAGGGTCCGATAAGCAATATGCGATGGTGTGAAGGTGGAGCTATAGTGTGTTCTTAATGCAGAAGTATAAATCAGCCTTTAGTAAAAGGGTTTGAATGACCACACACACACACAAAAAAAAGAATGGGAGAATTTCAGTTTGCTTACTACAATATGATATCACCCACATCGCCACAAACAATCTGTAGAGAAAAAACCCTGCTCTCTTTCATTCCTAATCTCAACCATCTTCCGTTTTTTCTTAATATTTTAAACAAAATAGGATTAAACAATAAACATTTTTTTTTATCTCACCCATAATTTGCTCATGTTAACAAAGATTGCCAACATTAGCAGAGCATACTGTATTATTCTGTTCCTAAAGGGTCTCAGCAGCATATGAAGCCCCACCTGATATCCAGCCTCTTACTGATGGGAAGAGTTGTTGTGAAGAGTGAGTGTCATGTTTTGGCTGATCTCCAGGATGCTCTGGAAGACATCATAAGCCACAGCGAACAGGAAGTAGACAGGCAGCAGCCAGTGGAGTCTGTAGATTCTGTCACTTGCTGTTAGAGGAACTACCAGATGCCTGCAAACAAGAGGAACTGATGAAGCAGTAGAATGGAGAAACACAGATGTGCCAGTGCTGCAGTTTACTCACTTAAAGCGCTCTGATCTGGAGGTCCTCAGCATAAGGAAGATAAACAAGCCCACCTCCGTGTTCAATGAGAAGGAAACCACTTTGTCAAGCATCACAACAAATCCCTGTACAATGACAATTGAGAATAATATAATGTAATGTAATGTAATATAATGTAATATATTCATTCATTCATTCATTCATTCATTTTCTTGTCGGCTTAGTCCCTTTATTAATCTGGGGTCGCCACAGCGGAATGAACCGCCAACTTATCCAGCAAGTTTTTACGCAGCAGATGCCCTTCCAGCCGCAACCCATCTCTGGGAAACTAATGTAATATAATATAATATAATATAATATAATATAATATAATATAATATAATATAATATAATATAATATAATATAATATAATATAATATAATAATGTAACGTAATGTAATATAATGTAATAATGTAATGAAATGTAATATAATAATGTAATGTAATGTAATATAATAATATAATATAATATAATAATGTAACGTTATGTAATGTAATGTAATGTATAATGTAATGTAATATAATAATATAATGTAATGTAATATAATATAATATAATATAATAATGTAACGTAATGTAATGTAATAATGTAATGAAATGTAATATAATAATGTAATGTAATGTAATATAATATAATATAATAATGTAACGTTATGTAATGTAATGTAATGTAATAATGTAATGTAATATAATAATGTAATGTAATGTAATATAATATAATATAATATAATATAATATAATATAATATAATATAATATAATATAATATAATATAATATAATATAATATTTTTACTATGGAAGTCATTGCTGTTATAGTATTATTGATCTACATCAACACATTGTTAAATATTTTCTTAATATCTTGTATCTACAGTATCTCTTTAAAGTAGGTATTAGTTAATCTATTAATCAACCTGAACTATGAATGAACAATGCATTTATTGTAATTGACAAATTTAACATTTACTAAAACATTATTTAAAGAAGTTATACTTATTAATATTAGTTAATGCACAGAGTTAACATGAACTATTATGAACTATTATTATACATTAACTAATGGTAATAAACATGAGTAAATACTGTACTAAATGTATTGTCTATTGTTTGTTAATGAACTAATGTAACATTACTGTAAAATCTTACAAATGAATCTAGAAATATTTACTATATATATATATATATATATATATATATATATATATATATATATATATATATATATATATATATATATATATATATATATTTAAATTCATCTTTACTGATTATTTTGTTTAGTGTGTTATTTAGATAAGTTTAAGGTATTAAATATTATGCATGTTTTTCAAATTCCCTTTTTTGATTTATTATTCCAATCAAATATTGTAATAAAGGAAAAAAGCAAGAGATTAATAATAATTTTGGCAGGTATCTGTTGCCATTTATTTCTAAATGCAGTGTTAAAAGAAAACAGACAATAAACAGACAATGATACTAAAACAGCGTTGACAAAAATACTAAAAACCACACTGTTTCCATTTGATATTTCTCTTAAAGCTGCTACATTTTATTTAGAGGTCCATTACAGTTTATTAGTTGTTTGTTTATTATCATTACTAAAATATTTATTTATTGTCTGTTGTTTACTTTTTTATCATCACAGCTCTTATTGTTGTTAAATGTTACTGTGCGTTCACACCAAAGGCGGCGAGAGCATCACATTGATCTCGTATTTACGGGACGTTGCAGCAAATCAGTTACTTTCTCATATAAAAACATGCTTTCTAGCGTGAAAATGTTGTTGATCAAATTTATTTAACTATGGAAGATCAAGTTGTTGTGCGTAGTGTGGCTTTGCTCCATTTATTCAATAAGGGTCCATGTCTGAAGTATTCTGAAGCAGCAGTACTGTTTTGTGGCATGTTGTGATTGCAACTTTTTTTTTTTAAAGAAAAAAAAAAAAAAAAAAATCACTATTAACTTTTTCTCCCAGTAAGAAAACATTGTAAATAAATGGAAATCCAGCAATCCCAATCATCAAACGCTTGGGAAAAACCAACAAATTCACAGGACTTTGTTCCCTAGATTGTGGACATCTACATTTCGACTGATAGCCGCCGAACCGCATCATTGCTCATTACCATTAAGTTGATTCACATACTATCTGTCCTAAATAGTATTTGAAAATAGAATTAGTATGTCCCTAATTGTAATATGTTGAAAAGAGTATGCCAAACGTTCCCTGATGGTTTACTATTTCTGGTAAAAATTTTAAGTGTAGAAGCGTCCATACTCTATTTGCTTATACTGCCCACAATACATTGCGCGTTGGACGTGAATTCAATTCGAACTACAAATGCGGGTAAAAAGTGTAAATAAACTACTAACATTATGGACGCATGAAACCAACCGTCAAGTAGAAAAGCTTCGTTAAAGATGTTTGTATGACTGTTAATCAATATCTAGCCAACTGGAAAATATTCAAATCGTGTTTTCAGTGTTATATTTCATCTGCAACAACAATGTGAACTTATATCAAAATATGTTTGGACATTAACGTCTGAATGCAAAATTATCCAAAGACCTGAGGAGATTTCTCTGCATGAAAGACTCGTGAATGGCAGATTAACCTGCAGCTGTCTCTCAAATAAGGTAGGAAATTTAATATGAAAAAAATGTGGATGATGTCTACTGTTACACACTCAAAAGCATATATTTTCCCTTCACAAAAAAGTACATACTTTTAGGGCATAGTATAAGTATGTGAATTGGGGCGCATCATTGGTTTCAAAACTCCTCCACATCCACACCGTGAACACGCACCGAGCTGCTGCTTGACGCTTATCAACGCCGGCTCCCATTGAAAATGAATGCTTCCATCTACTTTGACACTAGAGCTGTGAACCTACACTAGTCTCACGGTTCGGTTTGGTTACGATTATCATGCCATCGATTCGGTTATATTCGATGTTTCGGTGCATCACGGTGCTTTTCATACACAGTTTTATATTTTCTTCACAGCAGCAGTTCTTGTATTAAAATGTATGAATATATTTATATTTATATATTATTTGTAATACAATTTTGTCATTTAATGCAAACAGTCAGATATATAAACTGTAACTTTAAACAAAATGAGCATTTAGCAAATAATATAAACAAATATAAATATCCAGCTCAATTTCTGATCCTTGTCTAGTTCTCTTACACCTCTTTGATTGGTCACACCCTCAACAAAAATGGTTGCGATTGGCTCTTGCGTGCTGCGCTCTTCAGATGAGTGACACTGATAAGCGGCAGGCGGCAGCGGCGATCTCACAGTTGATGTATGATAGACACATTGGAGAAAACTCTGCAGACACGCGCTCGTTTCTTTATCCAGAAGTAACGCTGTAAAACAGCCGAGAGGAGAAGAAAAGCCATGCCAGCAGGTCAAATGGGCCACTGTGTGTGTGTGTGAGAGAGAGAGAGAGAGAGAGAGAGAGAGAGAGAGAAAGAGAGAGAGAGCGAGAGAGAGAGAGAAATGGAGTACTTTCATTCTCTCGATCTCAGTGAAATAGGGGCTTTTGTTGTATATGTAAGTGAAACGCTGATCCAGCAAAAACACACGCAGTGAAATTGAGCACAGTTTATGAGTTTTAAGTAGTTAGAACGTTGTAAATACTCATGATCTCCTCCCTCACGACAGAGCGCATATGAGGTAAATGACGTCAGTAATAACCGGTTATGATTATTACTGAACCGATACCGAATTGTCCGCGTCTGCATCGCGGTGCACCGAAAAAACGATTAATTTTGACACCCCTATTTGACACTCTCGCCACTTTTGGTGTGAACGCACAGTTACATTAATGTTAAATGGGTGAAGTGAAATGTATTCAGCATTTGTGTGATTTTTACATCGGTGTCTACATTATACTCAACTGAAAATAAGTAAAAGTTTTCATTCTATTTAATTTTAGTTCACTTTTTAAGTATACTTTTCCCCCTCAAAACCACCTTTCCGATTAAATAACAATTGTTGATTTTTTTCTTTTCTTTCTTTTTTTTTTAATCAACACAAACCCCTTGAACACCGTCTGAACTCGGGGAATCAATGCAGTAAACTTCCTCTCTAATCACTATTGGCTGCTTGATAAATCCCTTACATTTATTCTGTGCACATCCTCCTTTTCTCTGTGCAATTCAGTGTAATCCGCCTCCAAACCAGTTGCATAAAATATTAAATATTTCAACCTAATACACTCAGATCATCACTAGAATAAACTCCAGAGCTTGAAATAATCACCAACCTTCGGATCACAAGCTGAAATGACAAAAATGAGACCAAAAGCCAGAAAGGACATGAAACCGCTGAAAAACCTAGAGGAGGGAAAGCAGAGAGGCTGTTGAGTCTGGGAGTTATTGCGATTTATCAAAGCCAGTGTTTTTTTTTAATGCACCGAAAGCCTTTTTATTATCAGAGTGCAGGAATATGCTGGCGGTGTGAGCGGTGACGGGCTGTAAAAGCTTAAAGAAATGGTGTGTGAAATGATGTGCCAGGGCTGAATGTAGAGTTTACCGTCTGCAGTGCTGTGATGTTCTCCAGCGTGAGCTATGATCTGCCAGCCATGCCACATTCTCCGGCCACAGAGAGCCCACCAGCCCGTCCACTGTAAACAAACAACAGCAGAGCTCACAAACAGCGAAATGGTCATGAGGATTACTAAACAGTTTATTAGCTATATGTATGTATATGTAATATGTACCTTGTAATAAAATTAATATATACCTTGTCATAATATATATATTTTATTATTATAAAGGTTTATATATTTATTATTTATATGTTTTATATATACACACACACACACACATTATATATATATATATATATATATATATATATATATATATATATATATATGTATGTATGTATGTAAGTATGCATGTATATATATATACATATATATACATATATATATATATATACGTATATACATGCATACATATATATATATATATATATATATATACATATATATATATATATATATATATATATATATATATATATATATATACTTATACATATATATGCTCATCTTTTCTTATACATGTATATGTATAGATACTTTGACATAGACCACATTACGGCTGCTGCTTTACAAATATGCCTGGTCTATTCCTCCCTCACTCATAAAAAAAACCCAAGATACTTGAACGCCTCTGGGGTAGGGACTTTCCTCCAAGTAGGGCAAACCACTTTTTTCCAGTGGAGCATCATGACCTCAGACTTGGAGGTGCTGATTTTCATCACAGCAGTGTCACACTCGGCAACAAACCGCCCCAGTATATAAAAAATACTACTACTACTACTACTACTACTACTACTACTACTACTAATAATAATAATAATAATCAGTCAGCCCACAGCTACATGTCTTTTTGTCCACCCTTTAATCCATTACTCATTTGTATAATAAATCATTTTTTCCAACTAACCTACTCTGTTTCACCACAACTACGTCCTGCAATCTCTCCCTCACACAGCATCCAGATGCGAGCTCACACTCACTCAACATTAACAGATGGAGTGTGTCACATGAAACTAACTGTAATGTGTCACACAGGCGATCGGAATTCATGCGCTGGACATAATTCACTCTGACACCCTCTGCTGAGAGCTTTGCTGGACCAGACCCAGAAACAGGCTTCAGCCGCTCTGATAGATGCAGCAGGAGGAGGAACAGATCCAAGATCAGTCAGAGTCCAGACTGAGATACACACACTCATGTGTACAACATGCTGAAAATTGACATTCACTAAGCAGATCAGAGGGAGGATTCAAGCAGATCTGAGTTTGCTTCATGGAAATTGCTTAAATGATTGAACTGAAACGAATTATTTATGTATTCATTAATAACATTTTAGGAACAGATTCAATGTAGTTATGTATGAATAAGAAATGTAAACAATACATTTAAATACATGTATACAACATACAGTTTGGAAAAACAACACAGTCTTACTGGAAATGCGTGCGTCGGTGTACACTTTTGTGAAACCTCAAAAACATACCTCAGTGTAAGCTTGACTGCAGATTCTACTTAAAGTGAACACTATGGGGCAGTATGATGCCAACAACATTTGTTTCTTTTCACATTACATTAGTGTACATTTTGTACACTTCTTTGTATAACATCACAAAACAACTTAACCATGATGCCCATGATTTTTCATCAAAGATGTTTCCTTCACCTATCTCCATATAGAACAGTGGTTGCCAACCGTTTTCTTAGGGGCCCCCCCTATGAACGTATACAAACATTGGAGCCCCCCCACCATTTAAATACACACGCACGCACACACATATGTACTATATATATATATATATATATATATATATATATATATATATATATATATATATATATATATATATATATATATATATATATATATATATATATATATATACATATATATATATATATATATAATATACTGTATGTGTGTGTTTGTGTAATATTAATATATAATATGTATAGAAAATATAAATTAATCACTTTTAACTTGTCCTGGCCTTCAATAAAACCAAAATTTAGGTAGGCTTTGTCATACTGTTTAATCTTTTTCTTCGCCTCTGAAGAATCACTGCATTTCCGTTTCTCTGCCGATTTTGTTTTTATTTGCCTTTACGACACATTGACAAGCACATTTCGTGAGTGAGCAAAATTTTCATAATTATTTAAAGTTATTTATTTTATTTATTTTTACTATTATGTTGGAATTTACATATATAATAGCAGGGCTGCTCGATTTTGGGAAAAATCATAATCACGATTATTTTGGTCATAATTGAAATCACGATTATTCAAAACCATTATCAGTTAAAGTCAAAATTATTAGCGCTCCTGAGATTTTTTTAATATAAATATTTCCCAAATTATGTTTAACAGAACAAGGAATTTTAACAGTATTTCCTATAATATGTTTTCTTCTAGGCTTATTTGTTTTATTTTAGCTAGAATAAAAGCAGGTTTAAATATTTTGAAACCAATTTAAGGTCAATACTATTAGCCCCCTTAAGCAATAAATATTTTGATTGTCTGCAGAAGAAACTACTGTTATACAATGACTTGCCTTATTACCCTAATTAAGCCTTTGAACTGCGCTTTAATCTGAATGCTTGTATTTTAAAAAAAATATCTAGTAAAATATTATGTACTGTCATCATAGCAAAGATAAAAGAAATCAGTAATTAGAAATGAGATATTAAAACTATTATGTTCAGAAATAATAATAAAAAAAAACTTCTTTCCATGAAACAGAAATTGGGAGGAAAAGGGTTGCTAATATTCAGGAGGGCTAATAATTCTGACTTCAAGTGTATACATACAGTTATTTTCCACCCTGCAAAGGAAAGAGAAATAAATACAATATATATTATTAATATATAATATATATATATAAAACAAACTGTGCTTTAAGCATCATCACTGTAAGAAAAACACTTTAGCTACAAAAATCCTTTAGTCAAGACTAGTGAGGTATTTTCTCATTGTTTGATTAATAATCATAAAAACAGGCGGCAGTAGGAATATTTCTCACTGTCTCTTTGGTTTCTCTTTCACGTGTCTTTTGATCCTCAACTCGTTTGTTTATTACACAAATGAGGGTTAATATAAATAATCACTAAACACCGCGTTTTGACACCTATTTGACCATTAAAGCGCTCACGCTAATGACTTTAGATGTCTGCGCTCCTCTGCTCATCTCAGTGTGCGAATGAGCGAATGCTGACTGGCCGCGTGCTTCTGACTGAGTGTGCGTGCTGCACGCGGTCTTTCGCGCTTTTAGGAGCAACACGTGTACAACTGGAAAGGTGGCGGTATATGATGCAATAATCATTTATCTCGATTAATGCTTTTTATAATCGTTTGAAATCGAATTAATAATCGATTAATTGTACAGCCCTATATAATAGTGGAGCATTTTTATGCCTTTTTCTACCTCAATACTTATCCTCTCCCGCGCCCCCCTTGTGAACTCTGGCGCCCCCCTTAGGGGGGCGCGGACCCCAGGTTGGGAACCACTGATATAGAAGATAACGAAACTATTAGAGTGGTCAGCTTGCTCAGTAGCTCACATCGTATGGTGTTTTACTTGGGTTTAAGTCTGATAATAGTAGGGGTGTCAAAATGTATTATTTCTTCGGTGCACCTTGATGCAGACGTGGACAATTCGGCATAATTCAGTAATAATCATAACCGGTTATTATGTACTGACGTCATTTATCTCATAAATATAGTATATAGAATATATACTATATAGAATATATACTATATAGTATATAGAATATAGCTATGTCGCCGTAGCTTACTATGGCGAGAGAGGTGAGTAATTAAAACACTCCAACTACTTATCCCTCTACTGCATGCTGTAACCATATGGCAACATGATACTTATGTTAATTTCCCTGCCACTGTTTAAAAAAAATAAAAATCAACATTATTTCTTTGTTGCAAAGAGAAGACCTTAAAGTAGCCAATGATGTGCTTTGGTTAAGTCACATGACATGCTGTGTTTTGCTGTAGCGTGATTTCTGACAGACTGGCGTTTATAGTGAGTAGTTGCTGAATGCAAACGTCAATTAAAAGGATCAAATTAAGTCCGATCCACAAAAAAATCTGAAACACCACCTCCAGTATGTTATGATGACACATTTACAGCTCAAAAAAAAGTTTAATTAAACCTCATTGTAAAGTCGAGATATCTTAACTTTTTGAATATTACTAATTCATAGCAACACTGACTGAACTAAAAATACATTTATTCACTTACCGCAAAAGCATGTAATCTGATTAGTTTAGCATTACTTCCCCTTTTGTATCACAGTCAGAACCCATTCCGGCAATGGTCTTTGTATTGGAACATTTACACAAAATTGTCTGTATAAACATTTGTCTTTTCTAAGAGACGCGCAAAACGCCAGGCACAAAAACATCATTTAAAAAGAAAACGCCTCATGCTCGTTCTTTTATTTTATGTGCCGCGTCACAACCTTCTCCACCAATCAGATCGGCACTTTTGTTCACGTGCACAGAGCTGCTGAAGTTACAGTAAACAGCACTTGGAGGCGCTCAAGCGCAAAACTGTCAATGCGAACGCACATTGAATAAGATGCCCAGAGGCGATATGAACGTTTAGCTGTTCATTGCTCTTGTGAACAATAATCATTTCTTCATTGCTAAAGCTGGAGCTGCTGCTTGAACCATCTATGCTTGTTCCAGTCACCAGTAACTTTAACAACAAGTGTGTGAACTGCCTCTCTTCTTCTTCTTCTGTGTTACAAGCAGGTGTCGGAAGCTTAAGGTTGTGTAGCGCCATCTAACGCCAAGGAGTGATTTTGCATACTCTTCTGCTTGACGCCAGTGAAAATCGATTGGGTTTGAATGCGGAAAAACGTCTCGTAAAACGCTGACGATAAACGCAAACGAAAAGCATCCCGGTGTGGACGAGCCTTTAGGCTGTGAATAGCTGATGCCTTTACATGTATATGTCGATGTGTGTGAACGTAACATTCTGTAGTGCAATTTAATTTAGTTTTTGGCCAGCAGGCACATGATGCCATAAGAGGTTAACATTATGTTAGATTTAGCTTGTGATG